GAACATATCTGAAATATTTTACATTGAATGTAGTAAATGACTTACAATAAAGGCACAAAAGACAAAAAGGAAAGTGATAGGAGTATAAGGCATAATAGAGCAATCTGACCAATAAATGATCAAGAAGAAACAAGCGTACAAAAAAGGAGAGAATAAGAATAAATAAATAAATAAGGTTAAAGAAAAAAAAAAAAATCACATTTAGGGAGGGGTGACCACTGACTAAAAGTTGTAGTAGCCTTACGGCGACTGATGGCAACCCTATGCCACGTATATGTCTCTACTTAGTCTGTAGTAATGTGATATGTGCCCTGACATAATCCAGGAAAGGTTCCCATATCTTACTGTAGTTTTTTGCTGATCCTTTCAGAGATAATTATAATCTAAAGATAATTATTATCTTTATTATTAGGTAATTATCTGAAAGATAATCTGATATATGTCTTTGTCTTTAGGATCTGCTGGACCACTCGTGCACATCAGGCAGTGGTTCAGGTCTTCCCTTCCTTGTCCAGAGAACTGTGGCCAGGCAGATCAGTCTGATGGAGTGTGTAGGTACGTATAACACATCACCAGCCACAGGCTGGATTGATTAATTTATTTAGAGGCTTACTGAGGACATTCAGTTAAGTCTTGCGTAAGCTCAGTCTCCATTTGCTGTTGAGATCTGTTTTTTGAATGACTTCAAAAAATGTCAATGTCAATGATCTGACAGCAATGTGAGAGTAACAATAAAAGGTCACATCATTTTTGTGAAAAGAACTGTTAAAACACAAGACGTGTGTTTGTCTTTCGGTTCTTTGTGTTGTTGAAGTTACGACACTTGTCTCAAGTTGTTGATGTAAGATTTGGTCGTCGTCAGGGCAACAACAAATTTCAATTTGAGTGTTCAGATGAAAGAATGTAGGTCACATGCCTTGGGATCCTGTTTTGTACCACTGTATCATACAGTACAGTTTGTGCCAGTTTGGAATTGGAAAAATGTGGCTTTGTGACAGACAAATCAGACTCAGTTCCTTCAGCTGCAGAGTGAATGTAGCCATAAAATAATATAAAAATACCCTAACAGCACTTTTCAAGACAGCAATCACCTTTTTAAAACTCATGTATCTGTATATTCGCCTTTCTGTCTTCCTGTGCAGCCGTCAATCAATTTCTCCTTCTCCTCATCTCTCTTTTACAGGCAAGGGAAGGTACGGGGAGGTGTGGCGGGGCCAGTGGCAGGGCGAGAACGTGGCTGTAAAAATCTTCTCCTCCAGAGACGAGAAGTCCTGGTTCAGAGAGACAGAGATCTACAATACAGTGCTGCTAAGACATGAAAACATACTGGGTGAGTGTGTTAAACAATAAAATATTAGGTTTTGCAGACCAGTTGGTGCAAAAGGAGAAAAGGAGGATTTCCACATTCCTGTCCGAAATTCTGGTTTTAGCATCGTTACCAAGAACATAGTTGTGATATAGCTGTTGTTGTAGAGAAACACGTTTTATCAGAATCTCTTGGAATAAATGTTTCTTTGACAGCTGTGCATGTGGCAGGGGGGTTTCCTTGTCTTTTTTAATCTCTCAACTTCCTCTAACATTCTTGTGTCTTAACACCTTTATGTTTGAAAGCAGTTACACATAAATATAACAAATGTGATCCATGCAAGAGAAACTTGACTAACAAGGTATAAATTATACACAGTTTACACTTATTTCTCATCTGTTGTGTTGTTCTGTCTGTCCACCCAGGCTTCATGGCGTCTGACATGACTTCCCGCAACTCCAGCACCCAGCTGTGGCTCATCACCCATTACCACGAGAACGGTTCCCTTTATGACTACTTGCAGCGAGTTGCCGTGGAGACGTCGGAGGGCTTGGCGATGGCGGCGTCGATAGCTTGCGGCCTAGTGCACCTGCACACGGAGATCTTCGGCACAGAGGGGAAACCGGCCATCGCGCACCGCGACCTGAAGAGCAAAAACATCCTGGTCACAAAGGAGCTGCGCTGCTGCATCGCAGACCTCGGTCAGTCAGTGATCCAGTGTTTTTATTTTCATCTACAACTAATATTTATCTGTTAGTCTTTGGCTTTTCAGACCCTTCATGTCCTCAGCCCAGTGTTTCATGAGCACTAACAGGACGACATATTTACATTTTTCCCTTTTTATAAAATGTATTTTTATTGCATTACTGATTAGTATTATTTGTTCTCCTTTGTGAAACCAGCATTGTGTACACCGGTTGGCTGTCTGTCCTTTTTTTGGTCTTTTGCACAATATGTCTGTATCCGTCCATCTGTTACCTGGTGGGCATTCGTGTGTGTCTCTATAATGGTGTACGTAACTGCATGTTACAGGGCTGGCTGTGACCCACTCCCAGGCAGACAACCTGCTTGATGTGGGCAACAACCCGAAGGTTGGCACCAAGCGTTACATGGCACCTGAAGTGCTGGACGAGACCATACAGACGGACTGCTTTGATGCCTACAAGAGAGTGGACATCTGGGCCTTCGGGCTGGTGCTGTGGGAGATAGCAAGACGCACATACAGCAATGGTGAGTGTCGTGCATTTAGGGCATTCTTAGGACTGCAACATCATACCAACGAATAAAATAGTCAGCATCAAATATTGTATGTTCATATTGACTTTGGGACAATAGTTTATCCTCTTGCTCCAGTTTTTCTCACTCATTTCTCTCCTCTCACTTTGACTTTCCAGGTATTGTTGAGGAGTACAAGCCTCCGTTCTACGATCAGGTGCCAAATGACCCGAGCTTTGAGGACATGAGGAAGGTGGTGTGTGTGGAACAGCAGAGGCCTTTCATTCCTAACCGTTGGTTCTCTGATCCTGTGAGTTTTTTATTATCTAATCCTGTTAAAGGAATGATCATTCACGTTCCTCTGGGGTGTCAGAATGTTTGGTCAGCTTGCGTCCACTTGCGTTTCAAAAACATCCTTAAAAGGTAGTAGGTACTCACTGGGGTTTCAGTGTCTGGTGACTAAGCAGTGTTGCATGTGTGATGGTAAAATGGTGGTTACCAACCTGGGAGCCAGGATAAATCTGAGTGTGTGTACAAAGTGGGACTACTTTTAATAATTCCCTTTTTCTTATGAAATATTAGATTATAATATCAGGCATTATCAGGACTTTTAGGATCTAAACCAGTGCTTCTTCAGAATATATTAGGCTCTCTAAATTCCACCATTATGACAGATGTTAAAATACAGTAGCATACGGACGATTCAAACAGGAGTGTAGTTTATCCTAATGAGGAGATTATTTATTGTTGAATCCTAAAAAGAACAAGTTCAAGAACCGGATCTAATGTGTTTGTGGAAAAGGGGAAGTCTTGGTGCACACTTCTCTTCCAAATAGTTTCCGTTTGGAGACACAATTGCAGTGTTTTTGAACCATTCATTTTTAATCTGTTTTTATTAAATTTTAAATTAATTGCACTTCAATGTAAATGTGCCAGGGTTAGCTAATATACTAATTTTCATCAATAGTTCCTGGGCAGGTTACAACAAATTAGTGCTTTAATAATATAATACATAAGTGGATTACAAAAGTGACAGAGATAAATAAAAACACATTATGTAAAGGCAGGGCCAGAGATGAGGTGGTTAGATTACTAATGGCTGACTATTCCAGTAGTGGGTGGCTTTGAGGACACTGTTTGCCCAAACTTTCTACATCTGTATTGTACAACACAGTCCTCTCTGGTAGTTGCCCTTATTGCTCTACTGCTGCTATGCTTCTGCTTTATGAACTGGCTCAGTGGGGGAGGGGCAAGCCCATGTAAGACCTTAAAAATTATGCAACGATCTGCAAAATGTTTAAAGCTATCTAAATTAAAAGTTGTACTTTTTTATTATTATATGACACTGGTGATAACTATTGACCTGCTTTGAGAGTGCTTTTAGTGTCTGTAAAGGTTTGTTACCAATCATGTTTTCACTCCTAACTAATCATGGACGTATGCACACGCTACCTGACTGAACGCAACTACGTAACAGGCTGATATTGAATCGAAATTTTACAGGAAATGCGAGACTCGATAGTATATACTTTTCAATTAACTTCACAGATTTCTCCACGTATCACCAGTGGTACATGTACCATAGTCTAAGAACCAGTGATAAAAACAAAAAGAGGGAAAATCACTTTGATTACTGATAAAATGTCAAGCAGGGTGTTGATCTCCCTGCCTTCTCTCGATTTATAAGTTGTTCCGGATGGTGTATTGTTGACCTAAGTTTTGGGATGGTTCGGGATACAGATATTTTGTACTTTTATCAGCTTGTTATAATGCGATGCATCCTTACAGGTGCAACTGTAAAATGCTAAACGGGGCAAGAGAGGTTGGTACTCTGCCAGCACCCAGAGTTTCCTTACACATCCAAAAGCTCTCGCAGTCACATTGATCGCAGACTTTCCTCTCATTGTGGGCGACACTCCTTTTCACTTCACATCCTGTGTTTCTCTCTCAGACTCTCTCCGCTCTGGTGAAACTGATGAAGGAGTGTTGGTACCAGAACCCTTCCGCCAGGCTGACAGCGCTGCGCATCAAGAAGACCCTGGACAAGATTCACAGCTCCCTGGAAAAGGGCAAGGAGTCGTGAGGGGGAGAGGAGCCTCAGGGGCAGCTGCCTGATGTCAGGGATCGGCATAGAGAAGAGCCCAGTGTTCGTTAAAGGAGAAAGGGCAATAAGAGGGACGGACAGAGGACCAGAGGAAACAGTTGTTCAAGTGTCATCCAGTCTCATCCTTCTCTTGCTCTCTCACTTTCACTGTGGTCGCCTTCCACCGACATCCCTCTCTCTGACTTGAAGCCCACACAGACGTTTGGAACAGTCCTGTCTGAATAAGCCAGCCTTCGCTACAGGACACAAGCCTGTCGCCAATGTGTTCGCACTGACCTGAACTGTAGACTGTTACTGAGTGTGACGAACTTGGATGGCATATTGTGTAATACCCCATCCCAATGCTTTAATGCCCATTTAAGACGGCTCTCTCACACACACACACACAGACACACAAAACGCTACATACTGAGAGTCTCTTACAATTCAATTTCTGATCCCAAGCCAGTGATTGTGGCATGCAGTCGAGGCATTCTGCCCATAGACAATCACAAATGTTTCACTCATTTAGCTTTATTAGAACATGCCAACTATTGCCACACACACACACTACTAAACACAAAAATTTGTTGACTTACAAAAGGAAAAGAGCCAATAGAATCCAAATTCTTTTTAAACTTTTTAAAAATAGTATGATATTTATGTATTAAATCTCCACTGCAACCACACTACTGAGGATATGTAAGACTGATGTACACTGACTGTACGACGGTGCGTGAAACTGACTGTATACATATATAAGCATTTACTCTACTGGACTTTCTGTACCCATATTGTCATTATTGGAGCTAGTAGGAAATGAGTTGTTGAGAAATAGAGGAGAAAAATAGGAAATTGTTCCCGCTGAGCTTGACTGTTGTATGGAAAAAACAGGATAAAACACTACAGACATGTTTATCCTGGTTGTTCCTGGAGTAGACACACAGTAAGTACCTGCCAAAAGGCATTAGTCTGTATCTTATAATAAGAATATGAAATGAATTGATCCTCTGCCTGGCTACCTTCATAAACTCACTGTGGCTGGTTACAAAAAATGTCTTCTGCACAGGCAGAGAGGATCAACTTGTTTGTGGTAGAGCTGACTTTTTTTTAAAAAAGATATTGGAGCTGGAGTCGTTTTCTGTAACGAGGTGGGCCTCTACTCATCTCCCATCATGCCACACTGTACAAGTTGCCTGAATAACAAAAAAACACTCCGTCTTCATTTGGAAAGTGTTTTATTCAAGATTCATTTCAAACAGATAAAGTTGCCTAGCTGTGCGGTTACAAATGAATTTGTTCACAAATGCTGGGTTTGTTTTGGAAAAAAATCTTGCTTTGTCTTTTTTTATATGTAATAAAACATTTACTGCACTCTTGCCTAATGATTAGCCGGCACGTGTTAGGGTTTCAGTTGCAAGTTTACTTGATAACAGCAGCTAAAACTAATGCAGTCTTAATACATAGGGGTGTAAGAAAATATTGAAAAATATTGTATCGTGATGTTTTCTTTCATCGGTCGATTTTTGTAAACTAAGAGCTTCTATGCAGATTTTGTGCAAATGGTGTCCTTTATACTATGTTGTATGTTGTATGTACTAAGTTATATTTAAAAAAAAAAAAGCTTACAGTATAGTAATATATCATATTATACTAAATCGTAGCTCCTGTATTGTGAAACATGTATCACCACATTCTTGCCAATACACAGTCCTGCTAATACAGTCTGCAGTAAATCTGACCTTTATGAAGGTCATAATGTTCAGGTTTTGTTTTAGGGAGGTGTTAATTCATCTGTATGATCAATTTGGAGGCTGCAGTTAGTGGTGCTTTTTAGTTGGATTGCGTTATACTGACAGGTCGTTCTATTATATTAAAAGAAAAAACCTCTATATAATACAATTCAACAGCACCACTGATAATCATAAAGTTGAATCACTACGTCAAAAACAGCTTAAACAACATACAACAACATGTTCATAAGTAGAGGATGGTTTTATTAGACTGCATTAGTTTTAGCTCAGTGTACCTAATAAACTGGCAACAGAGTATTGATAAATACAGTTTTACAGTATAAGTCCTTTAAAACAACAATGAGGTATCCATATGAACACTGAAGCAGGTTTTTGCTGTAATCGTTCCTTCCGTTCATACTGGTGATAAAGAGATCCCTTCCTAAAAGTCCTCTGAGTTAAAAATATTTTCCAAACTAGCTGAAGTTACTATTAAGCTTCAGCAGACTGAGTTTAACAAATCAAGTGAGTATCTTTCAGAACAGAATTCACTCTTTTAGCTCCACTGTCCTCCACTCCCAGACAGAAGGAATGAAAACAGCAAGCAATGTCTGTTTTAATGTTAATATGGGCACGAAAAACTGTGAACCTTTCCTTTAAAGCTTCAATCTGCAGCCGGTAAGTGATTTCCCTGCACAGCTGGAATCAGGAAACCTCATTCCAGTTGTGGTCCAGCTGGAGTAGAGTCATTCAAATGATGAACTCTACTACCCAGGCTGTCCACACGTTACAGATTGTAACCTTTCAAAAAGGCACAAGACCTTACACTATATATCCACTACTCACTCTTTAATTTTCTGTTTGCCCCCTAGTGACAACTAGTAGGCACAAGGAGTAAAGATGTCAATCATTATCGTTCGACTCACTTCCTCTCAATACCAGAAAATATGTGCTGTGCTTTTCATCTATTTCAAATATAAGTGTCCTTCATTTAAAATCTAATCTATTTGTTGGATGGAATAAGGACTGGATCAGACTGAGGCTACTCTAAGTGAGCAGCAGAGGTAGTTGATAAAAGACTGCTACGGAACAAAGTCAGCAGCTTGTCCAACGTGGATGTCATTCTGAAAGTACTGCTTTGTGCAGATGACAGTGAAACTCCCTTTTACAGATTTTGAGACATTGGTGTTTGCGGCTTGCCTGGCAAATGCCTGCAAAACCTGCAGCTCTGCACTCAATGTGTGAAACAGGTATCACAGGAAAGGGCATGAGCAGCCATAAAAACCATGTGGCAATAAGCTTGTAGTGAAAATGGAGCTCCTGCATCAGCTCTGTATAAATTACCACCTTCCCCATAGCAAAGAGACATTTTGGGTCATTTCAGGTCATCTGGTAAAGTCTTGTACGGGTTTAGGATGCCCTTTGGGTCCAGCATGGCCTTGATATTACCCATCAGAGCCACAGCCTGGCTGGGTTTACTGTAGTAGATGTAGTTCCTCTTCTTCAGGCCCAGTCCGTGCTCTGCGCTGATACTGCCGTGACAGCTGGCCGTCCACTCGTAGACAAAGGGCTCAATGGCAGCGAGGAGAGCGGGGTCTTTGGTTGGAGAGGTGACGTTCAAGTGGAGGTTTCCGTCTCCTAAAAGTACGGACAGAAAGAGATGCAGTGGAAATCTTGGTATTATGTAGATTGAGCTGTTGTAGGTATAGTAATCATCTCTGGTCTTACCTACGTGTCCGTATCCCACCACACTCTTGGCCCGGTCCCCCAGGTGCTCCCTCATGTCTGTCACCAGCTGGTAGATCCGCTCCACCGGAAGTGAGATGTCATACTTGTAAGTGAAGCCATCATGAGTCAGCGCCTCCGTGACACGTTCACGCATCGACCACAGAGCCTGAAAAAAGGTGGGAATGGAAAGGTTGACTGTTGACTGCAGCATCAGCATTTGCATCTAAACCAAGGTCGCCTGATTCAGTGTTGTTTTTAGCAAACACTAGTCAAACAGGGTTAGATTGCGTATTTGTTGGGGACTACTTTCAGCCACGGGTTTGGTGCTGTGGTGCAAGATCTGGCTACACAAAAAAATACTTTCGCTTTGCTTTTGGTATTTTTGTGGACTCCTCGAAAGATCAGAAACACCACCTTTATTTTTGAGTCTTCAGTTGCCACAGTCCCATCAGTAACCAATGACGATGTCATCGCCTCGTCTAAGAAATTGTGAAGTTTCTCCCCATCATGCGTTGGGTCAGATCCAGATGTTTCTATGACGACGTAGAAGGGACAATCTGCAAGATGGAGGGCAGAGTTTGGCATGTGTGTCTGTTTATTTGTCTTCTAAACAAATTGTGTGTGTGTGTGCGTGTGTGTGCCTACCAGAGATGGGATTGGGTAGTTTGAGGTGTGTATTCAGCAGCCTCATACATTCACTGTCCAGAAATTCGTAGGCTGACAGAATCTCTCCCAGCATGCCTTTACAGAGCTGAAACGTCTTCAGCAGCTGCTCAAAGGTCTCACAACCTACAAATGGAAGAGAATAAAATCAGGTATCAGCTAATTTATGAACACAAACTCATAACTGAACTGTGATTGTGATTAGCCAATAACGATGTCAAAATTGCAGTAGGATAGAGATAGATTAAGCAACCGTTCCTACCAAGAAAAACCACATTAACAGATTTGGGTTTGCGTGGACAAAGGATGGACACAGCGGTGATAACTCCCAGTGTGCCCTCTGACCCTATGAAGAGCTGTTTGAGGTCATATCCTGTATTATCTTTCCGCAGCTTGGCCAAGCAGTCCAGCACTTGCCCATCAGCCAACACCTGTACATGCCACATATACATATAAATATATAAACATACAAACATTAGATCAGTGCTTTTATCCGTTATCATCAGAATCGTAACATCTCACTCATATCCTCTGTGAAAATGATCAAAAATCCACATTTGTTTACTCCACTCACCGCTTCCAGACCCAGCACAGTCCCGCGTAAGGAGCCGTATCGCAGCAGCCGGAGTCCACCTGCATTAGTGGCCACGTTTCCCCCAATATGGCAACTGCCTTTCGCCCCCAGATCAAGTGGCATTATGTAGTCTCTCTCCTCCAGATAAAGGGACAAGTTCTCCAAGACACAACCTGCCTGACAGGTCAGAATTCCTGACAGATGGAGAAAACAATCTCTAAAGATTTGTCAAATATGCTGTCAGTACAAGACAACTTTTGTATTTTAAGACTTACCAGAGATACTATCAAAGGTCAGGATGTTGTTCATGAGGGCAGTGGAGAGGATGATCTCATCATAAACCGGCACGCTGCCCCCAACCAGCCCAGTGTTTCCTCCTTGAGGGTTCACCGCCAAGCTCCGACTGTTACAATACCTACAGCAGAAAGGGGAAAAACAACGACTTTAACCACCTTATAAACCCCTGACTTGTGTAGTTGTCTTTCCACCCACTACTTGTTCTTTACTTGAGAATTTGAGAAACTTCCTCTGTTGTTTGAGGTCTCAGCAACACTTCACTGGAACCTGCAGAAGATGTATGAACAGAAGACATTAACATCAGTGAATGTAAGTGTGTAAGTGGAATGAGATAAATTCATCTCTAGCCATCATCACCTCTCACTGACTTGAGCCAATCCACGTTACTTGACTCCAGCAGGTCCGGGTCGGTGATGGTTCTGCCGGGTAGGATCTTCCTGAAGAAGGCCAAATCTTCCGGAGTTACTCTGGAGAAAGGCAGCCTCTCTGGGGCTGCAGCGGGGGACGGCCCATCTGCCCCAGCGTGCAGCTTTCTACAGCAGACTCCAAACTGCAACGAGGTGGTGGGAAGAAATGGACTGCGGCGGTCCACAGGTGAATGTCCGACTGTGGCTGTAGAGAAGGAGGTGCTATGGGGGCTCAGATGTCTGAAAGCTGCCCTCGGTTTTAATGTTCTTTGGAGGATCCCCGCCATGACTGGAGAGTATGTAGAGTCGGCAAAACAGGCTGCAGAAAAGAAGTGGAATGAATTATAAATCTGTTTCGATAGATAAATTACAACTTGACAACATGTCCCTACTCATCTGTCAGCTTTGAGTCTAGAGTAAATATATATTCATTAGCTGCATTGAAAAGTTTGAGAAGGATTTGGTAAACTACAGAGAGAAACTGTCAATAACGTGTCTGTGGTTCCAGTTGCTCATCTGAAGCTTCTTGGTTAATGTGACTTGAATCTTTAATCTTTTAAAGTCAAAAAATCTATTTTTGATGCCTTAGTTTCGGATCGGAGCAACCAGATTTTTTTTTACTTGAATTTTTAAAACATAAAATAACCAATAGAATTTGATAAACTTGCATTTTCACACGGGACACTTAGATTTTCATTGTGAAGCCTTAAAAATACATTCAGAAGAATCAAGTTGAAATTGTGCAACTTAAAATGATCTTTGGGCAGAGGTATGGATTTACACTATTTAATATCCAGCAGTGACGATGCAATGCAATGAAACATTTACAGTTGTTTACATTCTCCATTATACATCCATGGTTGTTTGAATGATTCAAATCCCTAGAGCCTCTTTGCTTCCATACAGATGCCTGAACAAAAAGTTTTTTTTTTTTCTTACAGATGTGAACACAAATATTCTCTGCAAGTAAATAAATTCAGAAAATACAAAACTTTAAAATGTATGAAATATTTATTTTATTTACCTTCTAGGATAGTCAATGTCACCAGACACATAACACTGACCACCTCTTCCTATTCACAACATTATACCAACATACTCGTATGTTCTCTGAATGCACGTTGGTGGCACTTCATGGTAACAGACTACTTATACAAACACATATTATTTCCTACGACTTGATAGATATCGTCACATGTCCTAAACCTGATGAGGCTGTCCTTTCACTTAGCTTAGGTCCATTAGCATACTGACAGGACATCAGCTACCGTCTTTATTTACTCACCATAAACGTTCACCTAACAGCCCGCATCTTCCTGCCCGTGTGCCTTCCTTCGTGTCATATCTCAGTGCGAAACCTGGCACAAAGTTCAGTGCAGTTACTGAAACATGTCTCTCGTTCAGTGTTTACAACCTCACTGGCTGCTGAGAGTTGACAGGCGGTGAAAGGTCACAGAGGCGAGAATGGACCAATCAGAAGCCTCCGTTCAGAATGGGCCAATAGGCGTGAGGTTGCGTCGTGACTGCGCAGCCAATGATGGCAGCGGAAGATAAAGTCAAAAGGTTAGAGAGGAAATAGTTCATTAATCACTTTGTATTTTTTTTTTTTAAATGAACTTTATTTAAAAACATAAACAATACATGAACACACACTAGAAATAATACATTTGTTAAATATATTACTTTATTTATTTACTTACTTCTCACAAGGGATCATATGAAGTCATGCCTGGACTAAAAATCAATTACATTTTGCTCGTTTTAAATTTTTCCCCTGGAAGTTTGCTTTGTGCTAGGACTTGAGTTTACACACTTTATTGTATTAGTAAAATTGATCAAAACACGCCTGGCAGACCTGTTGTATATTAACAATATGCTGACAGTGCTAACACTGATTTATTTTCCAGAAAATTAAAACATCACTAATCTTATTAAGGAAAATTAAATGTACTCATATCTTCTAACTTTAAGGATATTTATAAAGGCACTGCTTGAGATCATTGAAATTGTGCCGTAGATCACTTCTAACAGACAAAACAGTGAATAACAGACATATTTGTCATTTAAAGGCACTTGTCTCTTAATGCAGGACTAATTCATACTCATTCTGCCCTTTAATGGTCTAATTAATACATTGCTTGACAGTTTTGAGATGTTGGTGTACACCACGCTGAAGAGGCAACACACTGAATTACTGGCTTAGTATGGATGCTAATAAGATAAAGCCTCACAGACTTGCATGTGGCCTTTAAATAAAGCACTAATGAAGAGCAAAAGCTCTGCAATTTATAGGTTCATCAATAGAGAGCATTAGGTCATTGGTGTTACACTCAATAAGATACACAGTGTGAGATACATCATGTGCAACAGAACGCAGCATGTTCAGCTTTGTTGTCCTAATTTTGCTGTATATTCTTATTTATTGTCCATTATAGTTGTTCTTGGCACAGTGTAGATTAAGAGCTCCTGGATGTAAATTCCTTGTGTTTAAACAGCTTTGGCAAATGAAGTAATATATTAATTTGATGGTCGTAAGAGGCAAAGCTCAGCTCACCGAAAAGTAAATGAAAGCTACAATTTTAAGCACTTTAAAATCAAAAAGGAATCTAAGAAAGTAAAAAATAGCAAACTTTAAATACATTTTATTTAAATAAAATGAATAAAAAGGTCTCCTACAGGTGCTTGCCTGTAGGAGATTCATATTTATTAGGATTAATATGTATTCCAGTAGATTAAAAGAGAAGTATCGGTTCATTTAAACCAATTTTTTACTTATATTTTCTAGTTTTAAGGTATTTATAAGGGCATTGTGTGGGATTTGAGTGTCATTCATAAATAAAAAGCATTATAAATAAGGAAAAGTTCATACAAAATTGAATACAAATTAATTTATTTAAAACTGACAAAACTGCTGATTTATTCCTCATGCATCCTGTAAAGTACACCGCATGCAACAAAATCTTATTTCTTTTAACAGGCTCAGCCTACAGTAACAATACCTTTCTGTACTCTGATAATCAGTTTTAAGTGTAAGCTTCTTGTACTGCAGCTCGTACTGTAAATTCCCTGAATACAACTTCGAGTTAGCATTATGGTCAACGTAATAGTCTTCTGTGCTCCGGGAAAGCCACATAAAGGACAACACCAGTGGAATACTATAAATCCGGTCCAGAATTAGTAACCATTTCACTGGCAATACTTTCAGGAAAATCCGCAGAACAGATGTCTACGCAGGATGGGAATCCCAAGGTGCCATCAGGACGCCCACCTGCCATTCATATGAGGTGTCTGGGTATATACAGCGTGCAGTTATCTCATGCTTCCAGTTTAAACACTGACATGGCAAACACATAGGCAAATACCCAAACTGATTTAATTTACAAAAAAACTAAAATGTGTGATGGGGATGGGGAATCTACAAATGTTTTAGGCTCTAGCACCTCATCTCATGTATCTGAGTGACAGTTTTAGCTGTAGGAGCCTTACAACTATTGTTACTCCTTGTGTCCTTGGCAGTATCGTGTCACTGAAGAAGCAGCCCATTGGTCGAACCGTTTTACCATCTTCAAAGAAAAGATCTCATATCATAGGGCTGCTTTTCCCAGCGCACCACTGCTGCTCTTCACAAATGACGCCCAACCTCCATGACATTTCCAGCAGGTCTCGTGAGACTACGTTTAGCCACAAAGACCAAAGATTCTAGGTCAGTAGTGTGAACCTCCCCTGCCTCGGGTTGATCATTGTACTCTCATTGTACGCTCACTGGTCTACACTTCAGTTGAGACTTGATGGATCCACACGGAGTTGTTGTTGGTCGTACTCTGATATGAGCTTCTTGATGTGGGCCAGTTTATTGTGTAGATATTCACAGCGACTCTTGTCCTGGTTGTAGTTGGGGTTGGACTATAGAGACACAAAAAAAATATATGACTTAACTATTAACAGCAAGAGAAAGAGGAGTGGAGTCTCATTAAGCAATCTTGAGATGAATATTGAGTTTTAAACAAAGTTTTTACCTTTTTAATTTTGTAATACTCTTGAAGAATTTGATTATGAACCGTCTGCAAGAGAGAAAAATAGAAATAAGAATTAATTTATCAAGTTTCAAAATGTGCAGTCTTATAAATATTAAATGTGACTAAAAAGCAAAACTTAAATCATCCATAGAAAAATTTCATACCACTTTAACTTGACTGATCAACACAATGTATGTGAAAAATCTTCATTTCTAGCTCCTATAGTTAATTTAAGTTTATTACTTTTTATTATTATTATTATAATATTTAACACACCAAGATATGGAGCAACGCACCAGCAAAGGCAGAGAAGAAGAAGACTGCTAGCTAGTGAACATGGATGTAAACAATGTAGGAGTTAAAATATTTTCTTTGCAAATGTTTCATGAGGAAAGAAATGGACAGGGAGTTCAACAGTGACTGAAACACAACTTTTCCACCCTTTAATGTAATAACAATGGACCACAACGGACTTACTGGTTTGAGTTCAAGCCTATGAAGCACCACTTGTTACATTTTTTTAGACTATATACCAACTATGTTATCTTCTCTATTTCTTTTCTTTTCCCTAAAAATCATATTAAACTGCAACCCCAAAACTGGGCTAATGAACTGTGGATTTTGTGTGTCCTTAGATCTCTAGTCAGTGTGTTGTACTCAGTGATTACTTTACTAGTATATGGCTTTATGTGCAACCTCTGGGGCAAGATCAGAGCTTCAAGTGGGGAAACGGTATTTTTGTGAAATAAAGGCTGGAACATAATAAGCATAGGGATGACAATAAGGAAGTTGTGTACACTACAGCAGGGGGTGAGTGTCGCTCTAAACATAAAATGAAGTGCTGGATTTCTTTATGTTGTACCTTGTATTTATGTGATTCGTGGTGCAGCTGTTTGAGCTGCGTGTCCAGCTCCATGAACTGCCGTGTCACGCCATCAATACGTGCGTGAAGATCTCTGTACTCGCTGTACTCCCTGTTAAAGTCCTGCTTGTAGCTCTGTCTCTGGTCGTGACTGCGAATTCCAGTATACGTCCTGTGCAGAGAACATAAAGGGACACTGATCAGTGCCTGCAGTTGAGGTTGTTAACCTCTGCAGAGGTTTTATATGTTAAGTGTGATTTTTTGGGAGAAAATGAGAGCAATGACAGACACGCACACACTCTTTTTTTCTCCAATAAAAGGTTTACCTTACTTACAATAAATAGTCTGCTGGGTCATTGTCTGCTTGAAGCACATTAGAATCAAACATAATTTCGCTCGGCTCTGAAAGAAAGAAGAAACCATGTCAAACTGTTTAAAAAAAAAACGGAATAACTGACTGAAAGTCAGACGTCAACAGCTAACAGCACTCACCTTTGCAGTCCAGGGAGGCTTTATTGTTTGGATCCTCTGAATTGCGCTCTTTTCTCCTTTCTTTCTTGTCTCTCCACCTATCCTTCTCCTGGAACAAACAAAACAAAAACAAATCCCAATTACAAATGCATCATATACAATACAAAAGCTGTAAACTAAATAAAAAGTAGTTTTCTCACCTGATCTCTGTGTTTGTGTTTGCTCTTCTTCCTTTTGTTTGTGTGTCTGTTCAGATCTGGCACTACCAGAGGGGACGGAGTACGATCAGAGTTGGGCTGAGGTTTGTCTGCTGTTCCTCTGGGCTCCTCCTGAGCGCGGGGAGTTGGTTCGAGCCTCTTGGCCACTTCTGCTTCCCGCTGACAGACTTCTGACAAGGAGTCAAAAAGCCTTCGAGGATCAAGCAAGTTCTTTTGCCCGTCATTCCCCATCGCTCCTGTGACGTCTCTAGGAGCCACTTGTTTGGACGGCATCACTTTTGACTTTTCACTGGCCGTTTTGCTGGACAAGTGGGATATCCTGGGCTTCTTACTCGCCAGAGGGTCGGTGTACTCCTCGGGCAGGGAAAGTTTTGGGTGTTGTTCTGTGGAGGAGTTGGGGGTGTCTCGCAGTGGACTGACCTGGGCCTTTGGGACGGTGAGGAGGTTCTGTTGTGGCTGAAACAGTCTCCTGCACAGCAATAAGAAGGTTATAAATAAACTGGCAATTCTACTAAATCTACACTTGGTTTTGCCTATTTTAAAGCGTGCTTAGAGTCTGCCATTTGTAAATGATTCCAGTGTAGTAAACAAAGCAACAAAAAGGTTACACAGTGTCATTCATGTGACATCCAGTCTAATCACCCAGTCTAATCTACACCACCTATCAGCAAAGACACCAACATCAGCGGCCATGCAGATATGGAGATGCTGATGTGTGCTGATATACAGGCGAGAAAGCTCACCTGCATTAGTGTCACACAAGTGCAGGTAACAGGTGGTACAAGTGTTCAATGTAAAAGCACAAAAGAACCCACAAAGTGAACAGCAGCAACACAAAAGAAAAACAGCTGAGTCACTCATTGCCTGCAGCAGCTGCCGAGTGATTAAACTGCAGTGCTCTTCTTTGCACGTAGGTGGCGACTTCAACGTGTCTACATCTGCAAGTCTAAGCTGCTGCTGCTGTTGCTTATCTTTCATCTCGGTGCGGGCTGGCTTGTGCAAAACCGGCCACACAATCTGTGCGATGACGTGCACAAAAGAAATGCAGGCACTGGCAGTTTCCAGTATCGCTGCTGTCACAAGAGAGTCTTTGGCATGCACACATGTAAATGTAAAAAAGCCAATTAGAAACCCAGTTACACATCAGCCAAGAAACCTGCTTTCTCCAGGATGAAATCTGGCAGTCTAGCTGGGCAATCTTCAAATACTTTACCCAATTATGGAAACCAGGTTTCTTGTTCTTCTAGTTATTAACAGCCAGATAAATATGAAATGAGTGAGTTTCGAAAGTGAGTGAAAAGCCAGTTACCATTAAAAGACCAAAAAAAAAAAAAAGGACAAGAGTGGGCCAGACGACTAGTTCTTTGCTTTTTAATCCGAACAATTTGTCTAATCTTCACACTTTCTTGAGATGCCCCATATTTCCTACAACTATTTGGTTGATTTAGTCGGCCTTTAAAAGTATCTCATTTGTGTTACCTGACGAGGATTCTGTTAAGAAGCTTCTGGTCATCTGAAGTATAGCCTGGCCAGTCCTTCTGCAGCTCCTTATACAGACCGTCCTTTAGAACAAATGAGTTGTCTCTACTATTGAGTTGGCCAACCTGCAAACAAATATACACAAAACACACACAAAAACTCATTAATTTTCTTGATCCTCACAATGTCTAACATCCTTGTGTAATAACTCAATTGGCAAAAATGTAAACTTATCTAGTGTTTGTTAACCAGAGCATGTGAAAAAATTACCATTTTTACAGCCCCTGTGTTTGTCTCTGAAGAGCTTTTCTTTTTGCATTCTTTTTAATGAGACTTTTCTTCACCTGACTAAAGAAGAGAAAGAATTACCTCCATCAGTACAGAGTCCAGCAGGTCTTTGTCTCCTGCAGTCAGTTCATCTTTCTGCAGCCTCACGATCAGTTCGGGCTTCTTGTACCGCCTCAGAGCCAGCAGGTGTGTTACTCTCTCCCTGAGCGGCCTCTCCTGCACGTCACCCACGCTCTTCCTGTTCGAAGCACAGGAACCCTTCTTCGGCTTGGACACGCAGACCCCCCTTTTGACGTTGCTGAGGAGAGGCTTGGACGGGTGCCGCGGCTTGGTCAGGCTGGCCAGCGCGGGGGCCGGGGCTCGCACCGTTACCTTCTTGCCTGCGAGGAAGCAGGAAATCTCACATCAAAAGCAGCACTTGCCATATAAAAGGTAAAATATCTTCAAAGGAGTTTACAGGAGCCTGGCGGAGGTTTCCATCATTAAAAGGGAAGGTACCTCGTGCTGTAGTTTTTATTCTCACTACGCTGCATTGAAAAGAAAGTGTTTAAGTTGTACTGGGAACCTCCCGACTACAAATGTGTGAAATTACTGCTTAAAAAGAGCCCTGACGCCAAAGGAAATGGATCCTGTCCTGTGACAGAAAAGAGAAAAGACCCAATTTCACCTCTTCAGAAACCCACAGACGGGCTACAAAGATGCACACACTTCCGCGTGAGCAAAAACTGCTATCTAATTTTGGAAATAACCACACAGTTGCACAAGCCTGTAGTGAGGAAGTGTTTTGTACAGGCTTCCTCTGAACTGACAAAAATCATCAAAATTAGTGTGCATGTCTGTGTGTGCGTGCGCGTTTACTGAAACAAGATGACGGTGGCTGAACTATCTGTTTAGAAGGAAGTGGTTTGTGGTTACACGTAGAAAGACAGCGGTGACACAAAAAAAAGCTCAATCACTGGTTTTATCGTGTGTTATTTTTTCGTGTTATTTATATTTTGGTGAGCATGTTGTTTCTGTATATTCTTAAAGTATGTTTGTGAAATCTGTGTCCTTTAAAACAACTAGATCAAATATAGTATTAATATATACAATAGATCACATACATGGCTCTGTGTGTGTGTGTGTATACTGTATAGAAAGTTTACTTAAAGAAGAAAAGGACAAAAACCTGCTGGAGAAAACAACACTGGCTGTTACTATGTCACTGGTTACCACACATGTTACTATAGCAACCAATGCAATATGGCCAACTGTGTTTTTTTTTTTCCCCCCCTTTCTTTTCTCTTTTGTGGATATTATCAGCACAGTACAAATCTGTCTTCAGGCCAGTCTTATTCCTTAGCTGGAGTTATCTCTTGTATAACCAAGCAGACTGCACATGCCAGTGTTTCCTACCCTGGAAGCGCCCCCCATGTTTGATGACAATGGCCCCTCGGCTCCGGGTCTCTTCCTCGGCTTGGGCCATGCTCTGACGGGCCTTATCGTACGAGTCATCTGTAGCGTTGACTGTCATCTTCTTCTGAATCACCCCGAGACATGACAGCTCCTCGGCAGCACTGGGAGGAGGAGGAAGGACAGCGAGTACCGTCAGCGATCTGACAGACGGCTTCCACATGTTAACCATTATAACTGAAGGATTGTTTGAGTACATAGTTGCTTGACTGGTGCTTATGTCTTGGAAGCGTTCAGTTAGATGTACATCAGCTGGACTACTTACATACTCATTACAGCACAGGGATTTGTAGTTTCCCCGTGTGTTTCCATTGATTGTTTATGTGTTTAGGAGTCAGAACAGCAGATTTCTACTTGCATTTATTAAATTCAGTTCTCTACACTGTGCCTGTACAGTCAGAAACCCTGGGTTCGCTCTGGCATTTGAAAAGAGACTGACAGAGAGACGTTACCAGCAGGGTGACTTTCAAAAATCAGTAGGGGAGCGGAGACATTTTTAAATATTGAAACTTGTTGAAAAGCTCAGTTAATTTCCTAAATTAAAGTAGACTGATGTCCCCTATTTTTATGCTACCATCTGATCAACTTATTATTATATATATATATATTTTATAACAGCTTTAATCTAACAAATGTTACTTTTATTCAAAAAGTATAAAGTAACTGTGTGTTTTATATGACTTTTTGTTGTGTTTTACCCAGTGCTGAGCTGTTGGACGCAGTCAAAGCTTCCATGTGGATTGTCCCGTGCAACGTTAGTCACACCGAAGGTGAAGATCCTCAATTCATCTCTATTCTCCGAACAAGGGATAGTGATTTTCTGTGACGTGGAGGAGAGAGGTACAGACAAGAGAAACTGATTTAACATCTTTCAAATCTTAATGCATCAGAGGAAATGACCAGAATGAATATATGTTCTTTCTTACCCCTTGGTTCCCATTAAAACAGATGGTGGGATGTGAGGACGAACCCTGGAGGAAAAAGACAACACATTTGATTTGAGAGCGTCTCGGAGTGACCCATAAACACACTCACACACACACACCAAGGTCTGATTACAGACATACGTAAAACATACGTAAAACATACAACACAGAGGATGTTTTGTGGTTTGCACTTTTTGTACAAGTTCTATATCTTCCTTCACTGTGGTTTCATTACCGCTAGTACCAACCCATTTACTTTGCTCTGTGCACTGTTGCTCTTCATGCCTCTGCATAGTGAAAAGTGTGACAGTGGATCCCACCCTTTTATTTTGTACAGCTCAAGTATGCCCCTGTGCGCCCTTAATTGCAGCCTGTGGTGATTCATGTTGGTTCGAGGTTTGGCTTGTGAAGTACTGTTATTGTGACAACTATCAATGCACCGATTAGAGTCCGACTGATATATCTGTTGGCGGTTATATCGGTTATTGGGGTCTATTACATATTGTGATTGTATTGATATCTGCGTAAATGTTATCCAATATGCGCCAATATGAAACCAGGCTATTTTCCCGGCATACAATGCATAACATATTAGTGTCACTGCAAAAGTTGCAGTGCCGCAATTTACAATACTGCACAGAGTAAGAGAGAAGAAGCAGCTCTCAGCCGTGTCAGCTAGAATTGGTATGTTAAAATATTAACATTTTAAAGAATATTCAAGTGAAATATTCATTATGAAAGTTATTAGTCTAAGAAAGAAGCCGTCTGAGTACCTTTGCATAGTCATATCGGTGCACAATCCACATAGAAAAGAAAAATGACAGCTAAAAAATTCCCCAGTATTAGTGATTTGTGAATTTCTATTTTTACGTTTCTAAAATTGGTATCAGTCAGATCAGTTTTCTCCCCACATACCAATTCTAACCCCTCAACCCAATACCAGTGCTAGTTCACCAAATTTAAATCTGTATCACTTGTCACTCGAGGCCGCCTCGGCTAGTAAACTGAAAGTCTGGAGGTGTGGTGTTAGAAAGTAGTGAGTTGCTCATTTTTCCTCGAGACAGCAGCCTTAATAACCTTTGTATTGACACAGATATTGATCCAGCGTATCGGGTTGGTGCATCCCTAATGATGACAAATACTGAAGATCAAGCAAACCGTGTCGATTGCTTATTTCTCAGACATGTCGATATAGCTTTTTAAATCAAATCATAATTGCTAGTATTTTTTAATTAAGCCAGTACTCCACTATCTTATCTTTCCGTGTACCTCCTGGCAACTGCAGAGGTATCCCTCGTATATCCTGCGACACCTGTGCACCACGAGCCCCCTTATATATATATATATATATATATTTTCAACTTT